ATCCCTCCTCGAGTCTGCGTGTTGCTCAGCGCAATCGGTTTCCCCGCCGCTCTCGGCGGTCTCATGGCCGTTTACGCCTACGGCATCGGCCTCTTCCGTCAGGCGGTCACCAACTACACCAACCTCTTGGTAACGGGCGAGTTGACGCCAACCGGCCATTCGGTCGGCCGAGACGCCGGTCTCGACACGGACTCGGCCGACGGATCCTCCTCTCTCGGCCGGTTCCCGCAGCAATGCAGCCCCGACTCTGGCCATCAGTCCGGCCGGACGCCGGTCCTAGACGTCGGCCTCCGGACGGCCGAACACGCCGGACTCAACCTCTCGCCGGCCGTGCTCGCCGTCACCACAAAGTACTGGCATCCGCCGCAGACGACAACAATGCCGTCGTCACGGCAACTGCGCAAGACGAGCCAGTGTCGTACGGGCACGCCGTTGCCCAACGGGGCCGAAAGCCTGGTCGGTACAGGCCATAGTGACCGGGACTCGTGGGCCCAGCGTCCCCTCGGGCCGGGCAGACGACGCGGCCGCATCGACAGCCCCGACCTGCTCGGCGTCAGCATCCTGGAGACGGGTGTGCTCGATAGGCAGCCGGAGGCTGGCAACCTGATGGGCGCCTCCTGCATGAACCGGTTGCCCATCGCGGCCAGGCCTCGAGCCCAGAGCTGCCTGTGGCCGGGGCTCGTCTCGACCGTCTGCTTCCTCGTGCTCTTCGCCAGCCGGGCCTGTCTCATGGCGCCCGTCGTGCAGTGCTACTGGACCTGGGGCCTCCGACTGGCCGTCTGCTCCACGGTCGTCTCGCTGCTCCATCTCGTCGCTTGGCTCGCTCTCTGGCTCGGCCTCTCCGTCAAGACGGCCTGGCGCTTTCGCCTCGTGCATCTCGTCGACCAGCTCGCCTCGCCGTCGCCCTCGCCGTCCGGCCTCGCCGTCGCCGTCGCCGCCGCCGCCGCCGCCTCGCACTTGGCCGCGGCGCCAGCGCCTACGTCGGCGCCGGCGCCGGCCTCGGCCGCCGAGGCGATGGGCGAGGCGGGCGGCCGCGACGCCGTCGCCGTCGCCGTCGCTCTGGCCCAATGGGAGAGCCTGTTGCGTCAGACCGGCAGTCCGCTCCTGCTGGCCGGGCTCAACGGCCTGTTGGCCGGCAACCCGGCGGCCGCCCGGCTCCTGCTGCCGCTGCTCTACCAGCACCCGACAGCGGCGGGCGCGGGCCTGCGCCAATCGGCCAGTCTGCACGGCTTCGGGGCGCCAAGCGGCGCCGGCGACTCCGTCTACGGTTGCTTCACGGAGATTCTGCCGCCGCAGACGCCGGCCGGCCTTGGGCACCAACAACTCGGTCGTCTCGGTCCGCCCACCGTCTCGGACGACTCGGACGCCTGCGCCAGTCCGCCCCACGAACAGACGCCCACGCCGACGCCGACGCCCACACCCACGCTGACGCCAGCCACCGGCGGACAGTCCAAATCGGCCCACCAACACCAACACCACAACCATTTACACCACCACTCGCGCCACCATTCGCACCAGCTTCATCAACAACAACAACAACAACAACAACAACAACAGGCACACGAGCTGGCCGGCTCCGGCGGCGGACTGACGACGGCTCAGTTGACGAGCTACGTTCACCTGCAGTCGGCGCTGGCGGCGGCCGCAGTGGCTGCCGCCGGCGGCCTCGGTGAGCTCGGCTCTCCGCCGGGGCCGGTCAACTTCCGCTCGGCCCCGAGCGACGTCGGCTCGTACGAGACGGCGCCCATCAACGTGGCCCTCTCGACGTCGCCCCACCTCGACCTGGGCCCGAGCAACGGCGGCCAACTGGCAGACGGCCAGTCGAGCGACGCCGGCCTCTCCTGCGCCCCGGCGCCCGGCAAGCCGGCCTCGGCCGGGCTGTTGCCCACCGACCCGGCCTACGCTACACTCTCCTCCCTCTCCGGTCACCGCGGGCACCACAACAACCACAGCAGCCACGGCAACCACATTCATGCGGCGGATGGTTTCTTCGAGGTGGCAGCGCCTCGGCAGATGCTGACGGCGTCGTTTTCGTCCGGCTCTGCGGCCGGGTTGGGCGCGAGCCCCACCGGCCTGGTGAGCTTCGGCAACGGCTCGAGCCAGTTCGGCCGGCGGCTCAACGCCTCCAGAGTGACGTTTCGCGAGGCGCGCGGTCTGACTCTGCCCTCGGGGCCGCCGGAGATGAGCACCGAGTTTCTCGGCGCCGCCTCCAGCCCGGCCCATGTCGGCTCGGCTGGCAACGGTCTGGCGGCCAACGACACGGCCAACGGCAGCAGCGACAGCGGCCTCTGTACCAACATCACCAACGGTTCTGCGGGCTCGAGTTCGCGGGGCGGCGATGTGACGCGCCTCTTCTACGAGGACCACCGGTCGGTGTACTCTCGCGAGATGGGCCTCAACCAAGTGGGCCAGATCGACGGTCTGTCGACCGGGCCGGCCGGCCAGACGACGGTCGGCTGTCTTGACGACCTGGAGACGACGACAGGTCCATCGCGGTTCTACGAGAACCAGCACTCTCTGCTCGACCACTCGGACCTGGAGCCGGAGGCCAACTGGCCAGGCCGCAGCCGTCTCCTTGACGTGGCCACGGATCTGACGAGTCGCGAGCCCAACGGCCGGCCCGTCTGCCGCGATCTCGCCTCCTCCAGGACCGGCTCAGCCCAGCACCAACGAGCCCAGAAGACGCTCGTCTGTCCCGTCCGGCAGTCGCGAGCCGACGCCGCCGCGGAGCACCTCTGCAGCCAAGTCTAGCCACCGAAACTCTGCACCGCTTCACGCTTGGACTTCACACCCAGTTCAGCGCTCCCCTCTGTCATCTGCCGCATCGCATCGCATCGCATCGCATCGCGTCACACTCCACACTCTACCACAACTCCAGTCTTTTTACACACGCATCGGAACCACATCGTCCCGCTCCTTCTGCTGCAATTCTCCATTTCGCCGACTCTTGCTACTCTCCTCAAAAATCTTTGTAAGCATAATTGCAATCCTGTCGAGTTCTGTCTTTTCTCACCTATTCCCCACTTCTTTCTAGTCCTCCTCCCACTTATTTTCTTGCTACTCTTCCTCCATCTTCAATGTGTTCATTCGCTTCGTTGTGCAGATGCGTCCAAGCATAGTGATGTTGTACATAACTGCTCTCTCCACTAAAGAGTCAGCGCCTCATCGTGAACCTCATTGCTGGTGTCATACCAAATATGGTTACACTTACTTATAAATATGTGTAAAAGTTTGTGTTTTTATTACCCTATCAAAGAGAAACTGGTACATATACACACACACACACACACGCACACACAAATGGATACACAACTATACTAGTCCAATAAAAGGGGAAATTTGTATAATTTGAGGCCACAGATTTTCCTAGATCCTTGGCAGCTCCCCGCACATTTGAACTATGTTGGATCTCAACTGCATGCTCCGCCAAATTCCACGCTTTAGCCTCGTTTTGTACTTACATTCTAAACTCAAGCGTTCAGCCGACCCGACACCGAACCTGGCCCCTGCAATACACCTCGTGTCTTTGAGGCTATTCTCAAGCTGAATTGAAAGACTGCATGCCTTGTGAGCATATTTCGAGATTACTTTCACGCTTTCGATATTCAGCTTTTTGTAAATACACTTTGTTGATTCCTCCGCTTTTAACTTGTGACCACGTTGAAAATAGCGAACAATTGCAAATTTACCTTGTTTTTAAGCTGTGTGAGGCTAATGTCACGAATAGTTTGACGCATTCCACGAAACTGTTTGGAACTTCCACAAAACATCAAACGACTGCAGAAAAACTAGAAACAACCGTCGTCCTCTTGTGGGATTGACATAAGCCTCTTCCCACTTATCAGACACTTCCATTCTAATCGAAAGTCACCCAAGTCATTGAATATATTAAGACCAAGATGTTGTGGCCTCTGGTGTGGTCGCAGTCTCCTTTCGATTGATAGAAATGGGTTGACCTCGTTGTCGCGATTTGGTCTTGTTGTCAGGGCAACTTAGTAGAACA